TCAGGCGACAATGTAACAGCCAATAGTCAACAATTAAGTTCACTGACAGTAAGGCAGTGCCGGTGTTCTAAATAAAAACATTTTCTAGAGGTCACACAACAGTGTGACAGGCGTAATTAATACAGTTACTTCACTGTCTCAAATATTTTGAATATGTCAAACAACAATGTAACAGTAGTGTGGCGGAGCTGCAATATTAAATTCCACGATCTCCGCTAGTAAAGTAAGACAATATCCCAAATCTCCAGTAACCGGACAAAACACAGTTCTGGGAGTCAACTGAGGTTTTTATTCACAGCATTCAGTACTTATGCAAGTCCCCATGCAAGGGGTTTCCCTACTGACATTGCAGGGGTAATACAGTAGGGGACTACATGGGGGACTTAACATTCAGAACATTTCTCCCATCAGGCACTGCTGGACGAGAGCGATACTCCCACTGGAATATACCATTAAGTGGATTATCCCTCCGTGCAGCAGAACCGGCATTTTACATTTAAATGTATAACTTTTATAATATTCGAGTGATTTAAACGAATGAACGTTCGGTGGATAGCTGGGGTCTGAGCGCACATTTCATGAGAATACCGCTCAGATCCCAGCTAAAACAACCAAACGCCGCACAAAATACACTTTGCCATTGAGTTCATCTGAAAGTACCGAACACCGATGGGGAACTGCAATAGTGAAAGACCGGAGCTCCCGAACGGCGTGGAAGTCCAGCGGGGTTCGCGCCGTCGAGTAGCCGACTTCGGCTCCACGCGCTGGACGACCAAACCCCGCTGGTGAGACAAAGGATCCAAGATGGCCAACCGCCGCATGGTCGGTAGCCGAATGACGGCCACCTAGGAAAGCCTCTATGTGTGGGCTATTAGGAGTTAGCTCATTCGGTTCACAAACAGCCAGTAAGGTTGCTGTTCGTGAAACGAAACACATGAATGCTAGTGGCTTTCGGCTGCTAGCATACGAATTCTATGCAAACACACAGTGTAGATCTAGGTTATACATGAGGTTACAGTGGTTAGTACAGACAACCTTTTTATGTATATAGTCCAGAATATTACAAGTGGTTTGCCACAATGCTTCCCCAGAACCAAGCCGGCATACACAGTTTGATCCCAACGGATCGGCTTGGGGATGTCCGGAGGAGGGCCCACAGATCACTTTTCAAGTTCAGTTTGTCTAGATAACCCGTTCCCGTTTTGTTTTCCAGGGCGGTAATGGATTGTAAAGTCAAAAGGCTGCAGCGCCAAACTCCAGCGCAGAAGCCTGGCATTGTCTCCAGCCACACGGTTTAGCCACACCAACGGGTTGTGATCTGTGAGCAGGGAAAAAGGTTGTCCATATAGATACGACTGCAACTTTTTAAGGGCCCACACCACAGCCAGGCATTCTTTTTCAATGGCAGCGTAGCTCACTTCCCGTGGTAATAGTTTCTGGCTTAGATACGCTACGGGATGTTCTCCGCCATCGGCCCCCACTTGGCTCAGCACTGCTCCCAATCCAAACATTGAAGCGTCTGTGTGAACAAGAAAGCGTTTAGTTGGATCAGGAGCAGCAAGTACAGATGCATTAGTTAGAGCCGTCTTGAGTTGGTTAAATGCCTGATCACACTCTGGGGCCCAGACGACCTGTAGAGGAAGATTCTTGCGGGTCAAGTCAGTCAAGGGTTTGGTCAGGGCACGAACTTTCTATAGTATCCTGCAGTACCCAGGAAAGCTAGCACTTGGGTCTTGGTCCTAGGGGTGGGCCAATTAGCAACGGCTTCAATCTTGGCCGGTTCAGGCTTCTGTTGCCCGCTTCCCACCCGGTGGCCCAAGTACTGCACCTCTGCCATCCCTATATGACACTTGCTAAGTTTCAGTGTCAACCCTGCCTCCATAATACGATCAATAACGGCCCCTATGTGTTGCAGATGCTCTGCCCAGGTCATCCAGGTATGCGCATGCATATTCCAGGAACCCGTCCAGTAGCCGATCCACCATCCTTTGAAAGGTCGCCGGGGCGTTTTTCATCCCAAATGGCATGACCCGAAACTGGTACAGGCCAAACGGGGTGACAAACGCCGACTTGGGGATGGCATCCTCGGCTAGTGGAATTTGCCAGTATCCCTTACATAAATCTATGGTGGTGAGGTACTGGCCTTGTGCCATCTCATCCAGCAGCTCGTCTATCCGGGGCATCGGATAGGCATCAGACATGGTTTTGTCATTTAGCCTCCGGTAGTCGACACAAAAACGTGTTGTGCCATCTTTCTTAGGCGATTCCCAGGGGATATCGGAATGTTCAATAACCCCTAGCTGCAACATTTCCTCAATCTCTTTTCTCATATGCTCCCTGACTGCTTCAGGGATACGATATGGTGTCTGCCGCATAGGTAGCTATCCAGGGGTCTCGACTCGGTGAGTGGCTAGCGGAGTGTACCCAGGTAAATTAGAGAAGGTGGCTCCTTTAGCTGTGATCAACTCTTGTATCTGGGCCTGCTCCTGAGGGCTTAGCCGCTCCCCCAGCTGAAGCCCCGTGGAGGGCTCTTTCTGGTCGTCCTGTTCTAATAGGTCAGGTAGTGGCATGTTCTCCTGATCCTCAGAGGCGGAGGCCCATATTGCTGCCACGTCCTCTATCCTCTCATGATAGGGTGTGAGCATATTCACGTGGAGCATGCGTCTCTTCCCTACCCTTGAGCAGGGGCCAGGGGTAGGTGGTGTCACATCTCTGTTCCACCACCTGGTATGGGCCCTGCCAGATGGCCTGCAGCTTGTCCATGAGGACAGGCTTTAAAATCAAAACCTTCTGTCCCACTTGAAAGCTGCGGTCTCTGGCTCCCCTATCGTACCAGCGGCGCTGACATTGTTGAGCCGCCTGGAGGTTAGTGCGTACGGCCAGGGTTAGTGCCTCCAATCGGTCCCTGAACTCCAGCACGTATGGCACAATTGGGGTTCCATCTGCGCTACTCTCTCCCTCCCAATGCTCCCTAATTAAGTCTAACGGCCCTCGCACCCTTCTCCCAAACAACAATTTAAACGGGGAAAATCCCGTCGACTCCTGGGGTACCTCCCTATAGGCAAAAAGCAGATGGGGTAAAAATTGCTCCCAGTACTTATGGACCTCTCCAAACGTACGGAGCATCTGTTTCAGGGTACCATTAAATCTTTCGCATAACCCATTGGATTGAGGGTGATATGCGGAATTTACTATTGGCTTAATGCCACGTATCCAACACAGTTGTTGGGTGACCTCGGCGGTGAACTGGGTACCCCTATCGGATATGATCTCTTGGGGAAACCCCACCCTGGAGAATATTTTCATTAAGGCCTCGGCCACAGTCTCTGCATGAATGTTGGAGAGGGCGATGGCCTCGGGGTACCGGGTGGCGTAGTCCACTACGGTCAAAATATATCTCTTACCCGAGGGACTAGGCTTGGGCAAGGGCCCCATTTTGTATACGGCCACCGTACTGAAAGGTTCTTCAATGATAGGGAGAGGGCATAATTTGGCTTTGTGAAGGTCACCCCTCTTCCCCACTTGCTGGCAAATGTCACATGAGTTGCAGTACTGCCTCACATCTTTAGAAATCACTGACCAGAAAAAGGTCAACCTGTACCGGGTGCGTGTCATTCCCAGATGCTCAGACAAGGAGATGTCGTGAGCAATCCTAAGCAGTTCTTGCCTATACTTTTGGGGGGCCACTAACTGTTTAGTCGTTACTGTAAATGATCCCCCTATTACTCTTCCGGCAATGCGATATAATAGCCCTTTCTCCCAGGTATACCGCTCCCCCTCTAACCCGGCCTGATCTGTGCTTACCCTGTCCCTATATACCTGTAGCATGGGGTCTACCTTCACCTCCGTCTCAAATGTAGTTGGGGTATCCCAGGTCATACGTGTCGGGTGGGGGTCATTGTCTCTTACCTGAGCCTCAGAGTGTGTTGGTGAAACCGTGGTGCGAGCCTGCTGCCGGGTGGTCACTGGATGTGCTTCTTGGTGTGGAGCCTGGGGTATAAACTCAGAGGTTATCTGGCCCAAGTCATTCCCTAGTACAACATCCGCCGGTAATTTCTGCATTAGGCCCACTTCTACCATCCCCTCCCCAGCACCCCAGTTCAAATGCACTTTGGCAGTGGGTAGTCAGTACACTGCTCCCCCTGCCACTCGTACTGCCATGGATCCACCGGTGTGTGCTGAACCTGGCACCAAATGGGGAGCTACCAAAGTTAGGGTGGCTCCCGAATCTCGGAGCCCCTGCACTTCTTTCCCCTCTAGTGTCACCAGCTGACGATGATGTTGTCGGTTGTCAGTGGCTTGAACCGACATTACTTTATGCAGAAATCCCAGGGGTTCCTCGGCCTGAGTACTCAGTATCTCCTGGGTGGCTGGCTCTACTTGATAATGATGTGTGGCGGCCCTTGGCTCCGGGTTCTGTCGGACTTGGTTCCGTGCTTGTCGGCTCCGGTTCTGAGTGCACTCCCGAGACATATGTCCCTACTGCCTGCAGGTATGGCACTGAATGTTAGCTCTGCCATTGTATCGTGAGGGGAGAGGTTGGTTCCCCTGGGTTGGTCTAAAGTGGGTTGTCGTGTGAGCTGTAGGCGTAACTGTATTGGGTTGCACCGTGGGTCGAGGGTAACTCCGACTGAAGTGCCCGTGATGCCTCCTGGCATCAAAATGCTGGTCTGCTAATCAGGCCGCTTCAGTTAGGGTGAGGGGTTTTCGGTCTCTCACCCATTCTTGTGCCTCTGGAGACAGGCCATTAAAAAATTGTTCCAATAGCATCAATTGTCGTAACTCTTCCATAGTGGTGGCTTGGCTGGCTTGTATCCACCCCTGTGATGCTTGATCCAGCTTGTGAGCCCATTCGGCATGAGAATCTTTCTCCGGTTTGCGCAATCCTCTGAATTTGCACCGGTATGCCACCGGGGTAATGGCATACCTTTCTAATATGGCTCTTTTTACTTTGGTATAATCCTTGCTTTCCTCTCTGGGTACTGCGCGATAAGCTTCTGCTGCCCGACCGCACAGTTTGCCTGCCAGTAACGGTACCCATACCGCCTGCTCTAAGTCATGTAAATCGCACAGCCTTTCGAAATCTTGTAAATACCCATCAATCTCATCCTTCTCCTCACAAAACCTCTTAAAAGCATGGTATGGGATTTTGGGTTTTACCTGGCTGCAGATGGAGGCAGTAACTGATTCTGCCCTGGAGGGTGTCTCCTGTGTACTGTGTGCCATCACGTACTCCTGCACATCCACCATCAGCATGGTCAATATTTCCAAGGGTACTGGCTGTGGTAGAAACTCCATTCTGGTTCTCATTTCCTTTTGGTATAGAGTTTCCCCCATGGCTGGTGGGGGTGTAGCGCTGTGGGCTCGGTCTCCCTCCATCAGTTCGGCGATCAGCACTGCTTTCGGCTTGTTGCTGGCTATCCTTCCCCTGGCTTCCAGCAGTTCCTTTAGTGTCTGCCTTTTTAATGCAGTGTAATCCATCTCCATTCACTTTTCTCGTTTGGTTCTCTGCTGTATCCGAATTGCCATTCCCTTTTCTCGTTCGGTAGTTTCACTTTAACCGAACGCCGCTTTTCGGCTGTAAGGTTGGATCCCGCTTGCCACCAATTGTAGCCAGACGAAACACAGTTCTGGGAGTCAACGGAGGTTTTTATTCACAGTATCCAGTATTTATGCAAGTCCCCATGCAAGGGGTTTCCCTACTGACATTGCAGGGGTAATACAGTAGGGAACTTAACATTCAGAACATTTCTCCCATCAGGCACTGCTGGATGAGAGGGATACTCCCACTGGAATATACCGTTAAGTGGATTATCCCTCCGTGCAGCAGAACCGGCATTTTACATTTAAATGTATAACTTTTATAATATTCGAGTGATTTAAACGAATGAACGTTCAGTGGATAGCTGGGGTCTGAGCGCACATTTCGTGAGAATACTGCTCAGATCCCAGCTAAAACAACCGAACGCCGCACGAAATACACTTTGCCATTGAGTTCGTCTGAAAGTACCGAACACCGATGGGGAACTGCAATAGTGAAAGACCGGAGCTCCCGAACGGCCTGGAAGTCCAGCTGGGTTCGCGTCGTCGAGTAGCCGACTTCGGCTCCACGCGCTGGATGGCCAAACCCCGCTGGTGAGACAAAGGATCCAAGATGGCCGACCGCCGCGTGGTCGGTAGCCGAACGACGGCCACCTAGGAAAGCCTCTAATTACCGATTGCAACAATGTTGCAATCGGTTAATGAGTGCCATAAGTCCCTCTATGTGTGGGCTATTAGGAGTTAGCTCATTCGGTTCACGAACAGCCAGTAAGGTTGCTGTTCATGAAACGAAACACATGAATGCTAACGGCTTTTGGCTGCTAGCATACGAATTCTATGCAAACACACAGTGTAGATCTAGGTTATACATGAAGTTACAGTGGTTAGTACAGACAACCTTTTTATGTATATAGTCCAGAATATTACAAGTAGCTAGGTTTGCCACAAGTAGTGTTTCACGGTTTTATTGGACTGCAAGAAATGCACCGCAGGCCACAAGTGTACTATTTAGCACAAAAAAGTGTGATTTTTTTTACACCAACAATGTAAGAGTAGTATTTAAGGGTTTTATTGGACTGCAAGAAATGCACCGCAGGCCGCAAATGTTCTATTTAGCACAAAAAAGTGTGATTTTTTTAAACCAACAATGTAAGAGTAGTATTTAAGGGTTTTATTGGACTGCAAAAAATGCACCGCAGGCCGCAAATGTTCTATTTAGCACAAAAAAAGTGTGATTTTTTTAAACCAACAACGTAAGAGTAGTATTTAAGGGTAGTGATGTACCGAACGGTTCGCCGGCGAACGGTTCCCGGCGAACATAGCATGTTCGCGTTCGCCACGGCGGGCGAACATATGCGCGGTTCGACCCGCCCCCTATTCATCATCATTGAGTAAACTTTGACCCTGTACCTCACAGTCAGCAGACACATTCCAGCCAATTAGCAGCACAGCCTCCCTAGCAGACCCTCCCACCTACTGGACAGCATCCATTTTAGATTCATTCTCAAGCTGCATGCTTAGTAAGAGGAGGGAAAGTGTAGCTGCTGTTCATAAGATAGGGAAAAGCATAGCTAGGTTAGGGATAAGGGTATGCTTTTTTTTTGATTTTTTTTTTCTATGTAATGTAAATGCACTTAGTTGTCTGCCACTGCTGCCAGCTTCTGTGTCAGGCTCACAGTGCCCATTTCCCCAGTCAGTGCCACCAATTACATCTGGTGTCACAATAGCTTGGATTTAAAAACAAAAAACTTTTTTCACTGTTATAGATTGAATAGCAGTCAGTTGTCTGCCACTGCTGCCAGCTTCTGTGTCAGGCTCACAGTGCATACTGTGCCCATTTCCCCAGTCAGTGCCACCACTTACATCTGGTGTCACAATAGCTTGGATTTAAAAACAAAAAACTTTTTTCACTGTTATAGATTGAATAGCAGTCAGTTGCCTGCCACTGCTGCCAGCTTCTGTGTCAGGCTCACAGTGCATACTGTGCCCATTTCCCCAGTCAGTGCCACCAATTACATCTGGTGTCACAATAGCTTGGATTTAAAAACAAAAAACTTTTTTTACTGTTATAGATTGAATAGCAGTCAGTGTCCTTAAAGCTGGTGTGTTACGCTAACAGTGGATAGGCTGAAAAGTGCCACTAATTAGATCTGGTGTCACAATAGTTTGGATTTAA